AAAGTGTCATTTATACACTGGAGATTAATAGAAAGACTACTATGAGTAAGTCTTTACAGTTTGTTGTTTTGAGTCTTTGGGGAGATACAGCCTTGGAAATTACAGAATTACATAAATACTAGCATAAGAACACCAACAGAATTATATACGTTAAATTTCTTGTAAAAATTTTTACTTTTCATTGAGGCATTGAGGTTAGAAGGGGTGTGATCATATTAAAAAGGTTTAATGTGAAGTGTTTGAGGAATAATAATGGCCAAATGAGAGACAGTGGCTTTGGAAATGTGAGAGAACCTTTCACAAGCAATCCAGACCCACTTCGGAATAAATGGGAATGTGGTAAAAATATTGTGAGATTTTGAACTTGGATAACTGAGAAAGCAGTGGGAGTGTTACTATCCATTGCTCGCCCTAAGTGCACTGTGAAAGACCTGACTGACATCAAAGATAGTTTGTGATGTTAATGCTGGGGCTAGTTATGGACTTTTTCATTTGGTCAATATATAGGAAAGATTCTTTGCTTTTTTCTTTTTGTCAGTTGAATCCGGGGCTTGCAAATGCGCTGTTTTCAGTATAAGATTGTTAAGTGCTGAAATACAAATCGTTTCTACCTTCAACAGATTTGGCCAGTATAATTAAATAAAAAGAAGGTGCTTTCTAAAAAATCCTAAGAGGATAAAAGCTTTTTATGTTGTGCTAGCCATAGATAATGATTTCAACCTGTATTATAGCAATGAGGGGCAAAAACTGATGGATCAAATATCTTTTCTGTGTTGTTTATCAAAGTTAAAATAAATGTGGTCATTTAAAGGACAAAAGATGAGGGGGTGGAGTCTGTTCAAGCCAAGGGTATATTAGGAGAGAAGCAGAATTCTCTCCCTGTGAAGGGACAGTGACTCCTATTTTCCACCTTGTTTTACTAACTCTCCTAACTCTCTGCTTAGGTAGAGATATATCCATGTACATTTATAAACCACAGAGAATCATTTGATTTTGGAATAAAGATAGTATAAAATGTGTCCCAGTGTTGATATACATCATACATTAAATATGTCTGGTAGTGTTCTAATTTTATAGTTGTCCAAAGATAATGTTAGGGCCTACTGGCTATGTATGAAGCTCCAATGTTCAGATTGCAAAGAAACTTCGAATTTTACCAATCACACCAAATACATCCCAAGAAATTTTTCAGAGGAAAAAAAGAGAAACTAGCAGCAAAGAATCACCACAATATCATCAGATTTTTTTTTATATGTAGAATATTTATTCAGTTCTTTTTTCGAGTACATCTTATCTTCATTCATTGTACTTTATTTTTTGTGCAGGTTTAAATTTATTTCTTGTATGTGTTTAGTGATGCTTAACATTTTTATTTAATCAAGTTTATCAGAAAATTCGGTTAGAAAATATGATAAGGCTTTAATTCTGCCATCTGTATAGTCCACTGACTATTATCTAAAGATAATTGTTTTCTCTTTTTAAAGCAATTTGAATTGGGATTTTATGTCATAATTTTTTAATCTCTTTTTTTTTATTATACTTTACGTTCTGGGATACATGTGCAGAACGTGCAGGTGTGTTACATAGGCATATACGTGCCATGGTGGTTTGCTGAACCCACCAACCCATCATCTACATTAGGTATTTCTCCTAATGCTGTCACCCCCTATCTCCCCACCCCCCAGCAGGCCCTGGTGTGTGATGTTCTCCTCCCTGTGTCCATGTGTTCTCATTGTTCAAATTCCACTTATGATATCTACCATAACCTTGAAATTGTCTTATGTATTCACTTGTTTGGTTGTTATATTGCCTTCATCAGGACAGGGATATTTGCTGCTTTTTTTGTTTGTGTGTTTTCTTTTTGAGACAGTCTCGCTCTGTCACCCAGGCTGGAGTGCACCTCGGCTCAAAGCAACCTCCGCCTCCCAGATTTAAGCAACTCTCCTGTTTCAGCTTCCTGAATGGCTGGGACTGCAGGCATGCACCACCACGCCTGGCTAATTTTTGTATTTTTAGTAGAGACAATGTTTCACCATGTTGGCCAGGCTGGTCTCAAACTCCTGACCTCAGGGGATCTGCCCACCTTGGCCTTCCAAAGTGCTGGGATTATAGGCCTGAGCCACAGCATCCGGCCTGATTTTTGCATCTTTTATTCAGTGGTATTTGCCTTGTAGAAGGTGCTCAATACATATTTGAATAAAAGAATAAGTACTGTTTATTTTGAAACTACTTTGGTTATGACACTTGTTAAAAAGCATAAAAGCAATTAATGGTAATGAAAATTACTAATCCTGGAAATTTATAAATTAAACTAGTTAATATGGATACAGATCTTGCATGTAATAGGTATTTTATAGAAAAATGTCAGTGACACAACATGTAAGAATTATGCCTTTAATTTTATTTTTCTTATTTTGTCTGGCTGCATGATTATGAGGTGATCATGTGAGGCTATGGAAAAAAATTAATGAGAGAAACACGTAGTAGAACAATAGAGTTGACATTGATAATAGGGGATATGGGTGAGTGGGTAGATGCATATTTATAGACATATTTCCTTCCATTAAGGAAAATGGAGTGAAATTTTTCTTACATTTTTGCCTGCCTTTTGTCATGGTACTTGCAGAAGTAGCAATTGTTTGATTGTTTTGGGACTTAAAATATTTATGTGTATAAAGAGCTATTTATTTTGTGAAATGCTTCAAACATATAGAAAGGTTAAGACAATATAGTGAGTACAGAGGTGTATAATACCCATATTGAAAACAAATATAATGAATATCCATGGCTGGCACGGTGGCTTACACCTGCAATCCCAGCACTTTGGGAGGCCGAATCGGGCAGATCACGAGGTCAGGAGATAGAGACCATCCTGGCTAACACGGTGAAAACCTGTTTCTACTAAAAAATACTAAAATTCAGCCAGGCATGGTGGCGGGCGCCTGTGGTCCCAGCGATCCGGGAGGCTGAGGCAGGAGAATGGCGTGAACCCGGGAGGCGGAGCTTGCAGGGAGCCCAGATCAAGCCACTGCACTCCAGTGTGGGTGACAGAGCGAGACTGTGTCTCTAAATAAATAAACAAATGAATGAATGAACGAATGAATGTCCATATACCTACCACCCATATTTAACAATATCATAATTTTACTTTTTGATTCAGTTTTAAAAACAGAAGTATAACATTTCAGTTCAAGTTGAAAATCTCATTTAACCTTCTCCAAACATAAGTTTACTTTCCATGAGAGTGCAAAATAAGCCTTGTGATACTGGTATATGAGTTTAAATAATTTCAAAGAAGTTTTAAAATGTTTAGGAATGATTAATTCAATTTTTTTTTCAAAAAGAAATTGTTTGAAAATAGAAAATGTACTGTTTGCCAGCTGAACACTTTGCAGTTTTGTACCATGGGAAATTTGTCTGGTGCCTGTGCTCCTTATATTTATATATATTTTTTCATTGTACAGCATTCTGTACAAAGAATTTCAGTGCCAAATTATTTACATTGGTTACATTTGGTGGAGAAGGTTGGATCATGGTATAATTATATATCCTAAATTATTTTGGTAATATTTAAAATAGTTATAAGGAATCATTATTTTAGAAAAATAAAAAAGGTAAATGTTAAACATAGGTACTTTTAAATTATCTTATAAAATATAGTATTAAACACAACATCTTTTCACAATAGATGCAATACAAAAAAGCATTTGCATATTGTGTATATATATATGTATATCTCATATATATACAAATCTCTGCCATTCACATGCATACACATATATGTATATATCACCAAATATGTACATTCCTTACTCATATTGCTTTTTCAAGTATCTTCATAAAATTTCTATGGAAACCATGTTTCCTCTATTAAATCATGCTATTTGTGATCATTTGAGGGAGTGCTATTATTTTTTATTTACTTTGTTAATAGAGAATATCCTATTTCTAACTCAGCATGGTTAACAATTTGTATTTTAAAATATTTGAATTTCACCTTGGAGGGGGGAAGTAATGCTTTGACAATTTTAAAAATTAGCAATATGTTCATAATTTAGCAATCCTACCCTGGGCTGTATATCTTAAAATTGATTATGAGCCATCAATAGAGGAATTAACTCTCATAACTGATTTATGGTATCTAACATGTTTTATTCCCAGAAATAGTAAACCATGTATAATCTAAGAAAAAACAAGTTTTGTGAAAGCTTGTTAAGAAAAAAACATAAAACTTGCTTTTTCTTAAAATTATACATGGTTTTCTATTTCTGGGAATAATAAAAACTTAAGTAAATCAAAGGCAAAGAATAACAGAATTACCATTAGAAGAAACACAAAACTATATTTTGATTTTTACTTTATTCCTTAAAATATAGGGTACTTTAGCCCCTGAGGAGATATATATACACACACACATGCACATACACATATAGATATATATACATATATGTATATATGTATATATTAAATATATATTTTATATATGTACATAAATATATATATAAATTATATATATATATAATTTTTTTTTGAGACGGAGTCTCACTCTGTCACCCAGGCTGGAGTGCAATGGCATGATCTCAGCTCACTGCAAGCTCAGCCTTGTAGGTTCAAGCGATTTTTTTGCCTTGGCCTCCTGAGTAGATGGGATTACAGGCGCACACCACCATGCCCAGCTAATTTTTGTATTTTTAGTAGACACGGGGTTTCACCATGTTGGTCAGTCTTGTCTCAAACTCCTGACCTTGTGATCCGCTCACCTCAGCCTCCCAATGTGCTGGGATTACAGATGTGAGCCACTATGCCTGGCCCACTAATTATATTTTAATATCATTAAAATATTATATTTTAATAACAATTTATTAAAATAATTTTCTCTGGATTTTCTGCTTTGAATGATGAGAGATATCGTTTCAAATGGCAGTATGCATGTTTTGAAAACATTTTTGTGTTTTTACAGTATTATTGTCTTGGTGACCATTGTTTTATTTTATTTGTAGGTAAAAGAGTGGCTCTGTTTGAACTGTCAAATGAAAAGAGCTCTAGGTGGGGATCTGGCTCCAGTTCCATCATCACCCCAGCCCAAACCGAAGGCTGCACCTGTTACTGCTACATCAGCAGTGAGCAAATCATCCCCACAGCCACAGCAGACTTCCCCAAAGAAGGATGCTGCACCAAAACAGGATCTCTCCAAGGTACCTGAGCCTAAAAAGCCACCACTAGTGAAACAACCAACCCTCCACGGCTCTCCTTCAGCCAAGGCCAAGCAGCCTCCTGAGGCAGATTCTTCATCCAAGCCAGCCCCTCCCAAAGAACCTTCTGTCCCATCTGAGCAGGACAAGGCCCCTGTTGCTGACGATAAACCAAAGCAGCCCAAGATGGTAAAGCCAACCACAGACTTTGTATCTTCATCATCAGCAACAACACCTGATATTCCAAGCTCCAAAGTACAGTCACAAGCTGAAGAGAAAACAACCCCTCCTCTAAAAACAGATTCTGCCAAACCCTCACAGAGTTTTCCACCAACAGGGGAAAAAGTCACCCCATTTGATTCTAAAGCCATACCTCGCCCTGCATCCGATTCAAAAATTATTTCACATCCTGGTCCTAGTTCAGAGAGCAAAGGACAAAAACAAGTTGACCCCGTACAAAAGAAGGAGGAGCCCAAGAAAGCACAAACCAAAATGAGTCCTAAACCAGATGCCAAGCCAGTGCCAAAAGGGTCACCAACACCCCCTGGCCCACGACCTACTGCTGGCCAAACTGTCCCCACACCTCAACAGCCCCCAAAGCCTCAGGAGCAGTCAAGACGTTTCAGTCTGAATCTGGGAAGTATTACTGATGCCCCCAAATCACAGCCTACAACTCCTCAAGAGACCGTGACTGGGAAACTCTTTGGGTTTGGAGCATCAATCTTCAGCCAGGCATCAAATTTAATTTCCACTGCAGGCCAACCTGGACCTCATTCACAAAGTGGACCAGGGGCCCCAACGAAACAAGCCCCTGCCCCTTCACAGCCACCTGCTTCACAAGGGCCACCCAAATCCACAGGTCAAGCACCACCAGCACCTGCAAAAATTATACCTGTGAAAAAGGAAACAAAAGCCCCAGCAGCTGAAAAATTAGAGCCCAAAGCTGAACAAGCTCCATCAGTAAAAAGAACAGAAACAGAAAAAAAGCCACCACTTATGAAGGATAGCAAATCTTTAACAGCTGAGCCTCAAAAGGCTGTCCTTCCCACAAAACTGGAGAGATCTCCCAAACCACAATCAACCTGTTCTGTCTGCAAAACTGAACTCAACATAGGTTCTAAGGATGCTCCTAACTTCAGTACTTGCACTGAATGCAAGAATCAAGTGTGTAATCTCTGTGGATTTAACCCTACACCACATTTGACTGAGGTAAGTAATATGTGTATATATATATATTACATATGGAGGTGAGTCTATGGGTTTATTTTGAAATGTTTGGGTGGCCAAATATCTGAGCAAAAAATACATTTCTAGTGAAGAAAATAAATTGATAATCTTAGAAATTTCAATTACTTATTACCAGCTTACCTTCTTACTAAGAGTTCATGTTATTTGTACTTTCCTGGGTTAATGTACCGCAAGTAAGAAGATGAAATAAGCTAAGTTAAATGAACATCTTAATTATTAAATTACTATAACAGTGATCCAATCATTCATGAAATAAAGAAAAAAAAATAGCTTTTGAGGACTATTTGGTTTTCACATGTAAACTCCAAATAAAATGTTTTAATGTTTTATTCCCATCTCTAATCCTTCTGGTCTCTGTAATACATTAATAAAATAAGTTTGTTTGGTTGAATATGCATAAACACCATAAAATCTATTATGTTAATACAGTTAAAAACTGTTAAGAACTTTGTGTAAGTTAAAAATTTTGCCCAGTAGAAAATAGTGGTTCAAATATATTATATCTAGGCTTTTTATAATTCTGTTTGAAATATTATTTGGCATCCATATGAGATGGCACTTTACTAGGAGCTGTGGAAAGAAAGAAAGGTATATGGATTTCTATAACTAACATGAAGAGTTTTTTTAATGGAATGATAAGAATACTTTTTCTGCAATGTAAATGACTAAAAGGCAGATGACGAATTTCTAATATAGTTATAAAAGAATGAATCTATTAACATTAATAGCATGTTAAGGCTATTAGAATATTTAAATCATGGGAGACTAGGGGGTTAAACAATTACTGCTGTCTTAAATAAGTAACAACAATGTTTTAATAAACAGTCTGGGAATTAATCTAAATAATTGTTCCAAACTTTTATACAAACCAAAAATACATAATAATTTCACTGTCCTTGGTTTTGTTATTCATTATGATGAAAAAAATTGAATAGATTTTAGGATTTATATAAAATAAGCTTTAAAGTTTATTTGTTTTTGGTGGTGTTCTTGAGTTAAATATTTTTTAAAAAAATAAACCATAGAAAAATTTCATTTAAAAAGATGTTTGTTCGCTTTGATCTAATTAACACTGTATGAAAATGTTGTTGCTACAAGTTTCAGCAGATTTTTTTTCCTCTTTAGCTGTGATGAATAATTTTAACTGACAGTCATCTTAAAGGGACATACATTTTGGTTTCTCTCAGCACTTCATAAGAGGTAACAACTATCATTATTAGTTACAGTGTTTTGGATTCAATATAAAAGCAAAACCAAAAACAAATCTTAAAAGAAAACACTTTTAGGAGAGAAGTTTTTGGTTGTCAATTCAAGAGAGAAAATTTTCACCAATACAGTTGTATTTATTTTATATATTAAACAAAATTGTACCTTTTTGATGAGGATCCCTGTGGTATCAACACAATGAAGTTATAAAGCAAACTGCATTTCTAAAAACAAAACTATACTTTTTGCATTTCAAGTATATTTTTACACACTTAAAAATGGGTGCGTAGTGTGAGTTAGCACTATAACTTAAAATTTTACATATATGTGTATGGATATGCATACATACATATGTATGTGTACATTTGAATTATAGTAATTATTAGAATTCTCTCAATATTTGGAAGTCTAATGAGAGTTCCTTTGGTAGAAAGACAATAAACCTTTCAGGGAAATCTTTGATTTTCTGTGTGTTGGCAAATAATATTTTGAAAGTGGTAATTTGGAAAGGAGATTTATTGAATGAAGCAGAGAATTACCAAGGACATGTGTGGAATTTCAGTACTTTGAATAGTTTCAAAATCTAAATTTTCTCAAGTATTTAGATGGGTTAGATGAGGTCATATTTGAAGTGTGGTGAGTGATTGTGTTAGATAATCAGTAATTGTTCAAATTATTTTGCTTTATGGCAATTTCTTTGAATTTGGAAGATTAGGTTTCAGAGGGAAGAAAATCTAACAAAAGCAACTAGTATTCCTGGCTCACCTTGACTATCCTAATGTACATGAAGTTTTCAGTTAGTATAAGGTCTTGGTGACCTTTGATTTCTAAGTAAAGTTCACCTGGCATCAGGGGAATGAATAAAGGTTAGCTGAGTTATTACATGTTCAGGTAGTCTCTATCATTGCTCCACAGGACTTTGGAAAAATGACAAAAGGAGTTAGTTGAAAAGAATGGCATGTGTTTGTCTATGTGTGTATATGCATATATATACACACCTTTGTACACATATACATATATAAACATATATACATATACTCTTATGTATAGATGTATATGTATCCAGCAAACTGTAAATACTGTTAACAGGTGTAATTCATGCTACAATGTCAGTGTTCCTACTAATAAATCTTTCTTCATTTCTCTCAGTTAGGAGTTAGGAAAGCATCTCCTCCTAGATCTTTGTTGTGTGTCTACGTTTTCTTTATTCTGCTTGTAATATGTCTCTTGTGACCTAATATTTTCTGCTTGCCTGGTTAGTACTGTCCTTCCGTGCCAACCTCAGAGAGGACATTCTGAAAATACTCAGATTTTATGCCTGAAATCCAAATAAATGGTATTCCCTCAAGAAGAGATTCAATAATTTCATTTATTTTCTAATAAAGTATGTCCAACTCTCTAATACAAGCCTCTGCTTCTCCTATACTGGTCCCTGTGAGACAGGACATTTTTCCTGCTGATGCCACCCTGACCCCTTCTCCCTTTGGCTATTGTGTTTCTCTGGTTGTGAGAAGAGCTTGTCATATTTTGTCATTGGTTGGGAAGCTGTAGATGGTTTCCCTCTTTCTCCCTCATTAATCAAACACACCTGTCACTAAGGTTGTTTCCTGTCTCATACACAACACCTCCCACTGAACCTGAGGAGTGCCAACGGCTGCCTGCAGGCTCTGGGGTGCAGCCAGACCTCAACCTAAGCCTTACTGTTTAACTGCTTGATGCCCAGTTTGTATAAATGGTACTATCATCCCTTAACCTGTGATGGCAAGAGACAATTATTTTAGGCTTTAATTTCTGCCAAGTCAGGGAATACCTTGTCTTGGAAGGAGTTTTAAAAATGGCAGTTGAGCTTTCTTAAAAAAGCTAGTCTTACAGAATTTGGAAGCATGCTGAGAAAAACAGCTTAAGTTGGCAATCAGTTTACCTAGTGAATTTTTTGTCATTCTGGTAATCAAATTCAAAATGAGTCAGAATTACTCATAATGGTTGTTTATTGTTGTTAGCACCCTTTTCTAAGCTAACGTTTTACTATGAAAATAATATTTAAAAGTAATTATGTTTCCTCATATTTCAAGAAGTCCTGGAGTCATAATTTTGCTTCCTTAGCAAGATGATTGTGCATGGCCTGAATAGTGTAGGAATTGCTATAAGATATTTGTCACTCTGCAACAAATGAGTCTTTTAAGATAAGACCCAGTGATGTAACTGAGATTTTTTGAGATCTTTACTCTGTCTGGGTGGCTTCCACATTTTCCATTAAATACTCAAAAATGGCCCACTGGGGATATCCTGCATTTCTTATTTTGCAAACACATACCTTCCTTTTACTTTAATGGCCATTGCTTAATACATTAAAAAGCATATATTCAGTACTCAAAAGCATTTTCATACACATACACACAAAAGAAATTAAAGGCTGAAAGAATTATCAATAAGGAGAAATCAATAAGGAGAAAATAATTCTACCATTAATTAATTTCAAAAGAATTATGTAATGGAGACTGATCAGAATGGTGGCTCATACCTGTGATGCCAGCACTTTGGGAGGCCGAAGCGGGCAGATCACTTGAGGTCGGGAGTTTGAGACCAGCCTGGCCAACATGGTAAAACCCTGTCTCTACTAGAAATGTGAGAAAGTTGGCATGGTGGTTCGTGTCTGTAGTCCCAGCTACTCAGGAAGCTGAGGCCGGAGAATCACTTAAACCTGGGAGATGGAGGTTTCAGTGAACTGAGTTTGCCCCACTGCACTCCAGCCTGGACAATAGAGACTTCATCTCAAATAACAACAACAACAACATAATGGAGATCTACATTAATTAAAAATTTCTGGCACCCATGGCAAAGAAAGACACCTGATAGCACTTTTAAAATCAATATAAAAAAGTTTATAAGCTGGCCAGTAAAAAAATAATTAGGAAATTAATGTAAGTCATTGATTTTTATTTAGTTAAAATATTCAATGATGAATTCAAAATAAAGCTGTATTTTTGTTTAAATAAATTTAAACCAAAAGTAATTTTTTCTTAGTTGCCATTTTTCTATGCATATTTATATAGTTAATGTTCTACTCTGTATGGTAGTTCTGTATCTCAGTAAACATATAACATTTCTCCATATAATTAAACTCCTTAAGCATCATTTTAAATAATTATTATCTAATTCTATGGATGTATGTTTTTGTTATGCACATTTGTCTCATATTCAGGATTTAGGTTGTTGTCATTTTTCATGAACTTTTTGGACAAAAATATTAGTATTTTTAACTATTTCCCAAGGAAAACTTGTACTAGGGTTACTAAATCAAGGCATAAGGACCTTGGAATAACAAATTCTCTTTGGAGATGTGATAGCAGTCAACATTGCCACCACTAGTATATGTGATTTCTTTCTCACTATAATCTCTCCAAACTTGAATAATATCTAAAACAATATTTAATTTGGAAGTCTAAAAGTGCTGTAATATTCTTCCTTTGCCTTAAATTTTTGATTACTAGATGTTTTTATTTTAAATATTAGATGTAAATAGATGAATCTAATTATGATCCAGAAAAAATAACTGTGCAATGTTTGAAAGGTAAATTGATATCAATCATACGGCTTAAAAAACTTCTAATAGGGCAGCTATTTTGACTTGGCCTATGTGAGGCCATTGTGCTAAGCACTTTTCTCACCACAACCCTGTGGGACAGGTTTTACTTGTATCTTAGAGATTAGGAGAAGGAGTATCAGAGGTATAGCTATCAAGCCACAAAGGTATA